GCCGCCGCCGCCGCCACCACCACCGAGCCGGCGTCCGGAGCGGGGCTGGTAGGCCGGGCGCGGAGCAACCAGGGCAGCGAGGGGCGCGCTCATGGAGCACACGCACGCCCACCTCGCCGCCAACAGCTCGCTGTCCTGGTCCCCCGGCTCCGCCTGCGGCTTGGGCTTCGTGCCGGTGGTCTACTACAGCTTCTTGCTGTGCCTCGGTTTACCAGGTGAGGGCCGTGCGGGAGTGGGAGGGAAGAAAGCCAGGAGCGCCAAGTGCGAAGGACCCTGCCTAGAAGCTCCGGCCCCATCCTTCTTCTTCCCGGTGCCTTCCCTGGCGCCCCCAGTCTGCCCCCCATGAAAAAGTTTAAGCCTTGAGGGCAACTGCGGAGATTTCCAGACTGGGAGTAAAGGAAGTCGATGTGGCCTGGCGTAGACGTATGTGTGTGTAAGAGAGATGAGTGTGCGCACGGATAATGGGCATGGTGTGAGTGTGAGCTGGTATAAGTGTGTATTCCAGTACGAGGTTGTGTTCGCGTCTTGAGGGGTCAGCGTCCCCGAGGGGGGAAATTGAGGACGGTACGTGTGACCTGCCCGCACATTCTGGACTGAAAGCTTCGCAAAGGGTTCGCTTCTCCCCTCATCTCACAGATCTATCCCAACCTGGGCGCATCTGTCTCTCTGCATGTCCCGCCTGACAGGAGGCCCTGATACTGGGACGCTTTCTCTCAGCCACACTGGGACAGAGCAAAGATGCGCTCATGCTGCCCACCCCTGGAGAGGAGAAAGAAGCCTCCAGGGCTAAGAGTCTTAGGGTGGCTAGGACATGGGGTGCAGAAACACACGGAGGTGCCAGAGCCGCCACCTCCAGGGGTCACAGTCTCCTTGATGCAAGCCTCGCCCCCTGGCTTTGCATTCAGGTGCACCCAGCCTGGGCTGCTCAGGGCTGCCAATGCTGGTGCCTGGTGGTCCCACATGGTATTGTCCCCTCCAAAGTGTGGCTGAGACTCCTGCGGAATTCCTTAGGAGAGCTGAGCTGCTGAGGAGACGGGCTTGCCTGGGCTGTGTGTGTAAGGCAGTCAGAGGCAGCAAGAGAAAGGTTCTTCCTGGAGCTCCAGCTTTGGGTATTCCTTTCTTCCACGCAGTCCTGTGGCAAAAGGATTCCTAAAAATCCCTTGCATGGGAGTTGGGGTAGGGATAGAAAGGAAAAAAAAAAAGGAAAAAAAAAAAAAGCAACGTGCAGCCTAAAATCCTAGCATTGTCTACCCCCATCACCTAGAGAATTAACATCCTGGGAACTTGGAAGCAGGATTTCAGAGGGCTTTGGTGAGATTTCCTTTTCAAAACATCCAACTAGGGAGCCAGGGCCCCTTGAGATTGTTGGAATAATTGCCCCTACCCCCTAAATTTTTTTTGGAGGGGCAGGCATGAGAAAGCGCAAGTTTACAAACGTGCGAGTCTCTCCCCACCCCCCTCCCCAAGTGATGAAGCTTTTATTCCTAAGGAACCGAGCTCTGGCTGCCCTAGGAGAGAGGCTCGGCCTCTGGGCCCCTGATTCGTCTTGCTGGGGTGATAGCACGCGTCCTGTAATTACCTTGAGCTGAGATTGATTTCAGGCCAGGTTGCACCTCCTCCCGCTTCAGCCCTCCAGAGCTCTCTTTTAGGAAGTGAGTTTTGGAGAGAAGGTTGATCATTGGTGAGGCTTGTCAAGGCAGAATAAGCTATAGCCCCTCTTTCCCCCGGAGCACTGACACCTGCCCCCAACCCTCCACTCTTCCTGGCTCTTCTTCTGAAAACTCTCTAAGGGACAGAAACATAAAGACAAGAGGGAGGCTGGCCCTGCAAGAGTGCAAAGCAGGAACACTAGGATGAGGAGAAAGAAGGAAAGCTCAGGGCTTCGAAGCACTGGGGTGGATGGCAAGGTTCCTCGGACCGACACAGCCTAACTCCTGTGGCAGCCCGGGGGCTCCTGACTCACGGCATTCGGACCTTCTGGATGCTGGCTCTGTGCTAGACATGGGCCTAGCCCAGAATTGGGGGACTTTAACGAGGGTTGGGACTACAACTTGGAGGGTACTAATGTGTGTGTATGCTCAACTAACAGTTCTGAACACCTACGCTCTGCCAGAGGGTTAAGATGGGGCCACAGGGCCTCAAAGACTCTTAAGGTGCAGTCCCCAAGTTCAAGGCACTCACAGATGGGAGCTTATGGTAGTAGAGGCACCCAGTGGATGCAGAAGGACCCAGCAACTGAGAGCAGAAGGCTTGGGGAGCCCAGGCTTGTCCAAAGGTCAGGACTGTCCTCAGTGTTGTTAAGGGCTTGCAGGGTGGTACAGAGGTGAAATCCTTAAGTCATTCTCTTAAAGCCGTAAGGGGAGGTAAGTATGTCCTGGCAGCTAAGAGTGTAGGCTGAGTGTTGATCTAGTCTCTGCTGGGACTAGTTTGTGGCTTTTCCTCAAGTCCCCATGCCTCAGTTTCCACATCCGTGAAATAGGCATTATGTGAGTAGCTCCCCTGGAATGGTGGTGGGAAATAACAATAACCATGTCAACCGAGATGATGGGGCGAGTGGAGCGCTCAGCTCACCGCCTGACGCACTCCTTGATTGGCGCCGCGCTGCTGCAGTTGTGGTTATCAAAGAGTCGATGGAGAAGGACCGGCTGCTCCGCCCCACCGGCGCTAGCCAGGCCCTGAGAGGTGCAGGGGAAAGCTCAGCGTGCTCCTCCTCCTGCTGAGCTGGCCTCCTGGTCCTCTCCCCTGCCCTCAGGTCCCCAGCCCCCAGCAATTAGCACGCCCTCATTTCCCTCCCGCTGACTGGGAGGCGAGGCTATGCCTGGTGTGAAGTGACAGACCAAAGCCTTGCTAAGACGTTGAAAACTGAGATTTTAATTGAATCACCGTTCCCAGCAGTGGACTCACCCCCAAGTTTTCCAAATTCTCAAAGCAGTGGCCGGAGTCGCGGGTGGGAACGGAGGGATGGATGGGCAGTGGCAGAGTGGCTGAGTGGCAAACAAGAGCCACAGGGGAAATGGAGCCTCTAGGGGAAATGGCCAAAGTTTCTGACTACCTGCAGTCTCTCGTGAGGGAAGACCTTGAGGTCCAACTTCTAGGAATTACCCCTAGAGTCGCATTTAACGGTCTGGTGTGGGGTCCAATGGATTCCAATGCTAAGTGGGTTACAGCTCTGCCACTGAAGGATTCTTAACCTCTCTGTGCCACTGCTTACCCCACCTGTAAAATGGAGTAATGGCAGTACCTACTTACCCACACAGATAGTCCCACTAACTAAGATAACGTACTTTAAAACAGCTTAGTAAAGTCCAAAGAAAGCACTTCTACACAGTGCCTTTCCACACCAGACACAGTGGTATTATTTATTATTATTATTATTATTATTATTATTATTATTATTATTATTCCAGGTCTCTGTGTCACAGTCCTCCTGCCTCAGGCTCCAAATTGCCATACTCAGCTCTTTTTCTTTCTTTTTTCTTTTCTTTTTTTGTTCTTCAGATAGAGTTCTTAAAACAAACAAACAAAGAAACACTTTATTTATTTATTTTCTGTATGAGCAAGAGAGAGCCAGCATCCCCAAAGGGTCTTGATGCCGTGATCCAACCCGAGCCTCAGCTAGTCCCACATGATGGGCACGCATGTGCCCAGTGTACTCAGGGAGATCTCCAGATGTGAACTGGGGTGGGTCAGCTTCACAGAACAGTTGATCTGATCTCTGAGCCACCATCCAGCTCCTGACCCGATACTGGTCCTGTGTGGTCCCAGCCTGTGGAGCACAATGTCTTAGCAGCAGTGTCACCTTGACTAGGCCTCTGCACCCGATCTTTTTCACCTGTTATTATACTTGACCTTGGCCAAACCCCTGTAGCCTGTATGTCTCTGAACTCATTTGACAGATGAACAAACTGAGATTCAGAGAAGCAGAGCGTCTTGCCTATGGTCACAAACTAGCGTGCAAACACTCCTGCCCTTTGCATTGTGTCACATCACTTTCATTACCGCGGGGAAGTTCTTTTAACTAACCTTGGCTCCTCATGCTATGAGCTCTGTGAAGAACATTAATGTCCCAGCTGTCTTACAACTCCATCTCTTTGCCTTCTCTCCCTCTCTTCCGCCTCCATCTCAAGTAAACAAGATATCTATCACTTCATAAGACAGATGAAATCAATCAGCAGAGCCAACAAGGAAGGGTTGGGAAACTGACTGGGACAGATGGGATAAGACCATACAAACGAGAAGGTAGTGCAGAGGGAAATAAGATGAATTTGCCTAGGGGAAGCCAGTAGGAGGGAAGATGGGTGAGCCTGCTTGATAAAGAAGGAGAAGCATGAAATTAAACTGAGATCGAGAGATTGTGTTATAATTTTATCTTCTCAAAGGTGTCATGGGTATTTAAGGAAGACAAGGTGAGGAAGGAGGTGATAGCTTGAAACTGCACACCACTCCACAACTGCCAAGTGAGGATAAGACCTGCCTCTGGAGTTGGTAGTAGTATATCTGGCAGGTAGTATTAAACCTGACACACAGGACTCACCCTCGTCAATTAGAGCTGGAAGACTGGTGGCCCATAAGTGGAACTGAGTCCTGCAGATGGGTTTTCTTTAACACCATAATTAGAGAAAATATAATAAACAGGTTAAGAGTGCAGACTCGAGGGCCAGGTAGTGGCACGATGGCAACACAAGTGGATCCACATGGGAAAGGTCATTGGTTCATTTTCCAGAACTTCCCTAAGCACAGCAAGCACAAGTGTGTGCCCATCATCCAAGCTGGCTGGGACTGGAGGTGGGACACATTGGGCACAAAGACCTATTGGGAATGCCTGCTTCCCTTTGTCTGTCTGTCTGTCTGTCTGTCTGTCTCTCTCTCTCTCTCTCTCTCTCTCTCTCTCTCTCTCTCATAGGAGAAATAAATAAGCTTCAAAAAACAAACAAAATTAAAAAAACACAAATTCTTAAGCTGGACCTGTAGGGTTTGAGTCCTGACATTGTCACTTAAAAGCTGTGTGACATTAATTGGATGGTTTTAACCACTCTGTGCCTCAGTTTCCCTATCTGTAAAGTGGGGCTGGCAATAATATTATGTCATTGGGAAAGTCATGACATTTTTTTGTCATGACTTTCCTGATGACCCAATAGTCTATACCACATAGGGTTGTTGTGCAGATTAAATCGATTAAGCACTGAACGCAATGACTGGCACATAGTAAATATTC